GCGAAATCTTAAAGCCCCTACATTATTGAAGCCTAAGCCCTAAGCCCTGAAGCCGTTTAGAACTTCTCCTAGGGCCCATAGATGAGGAACCCTTCAAGGAACCCTGGCAGGAATGAAGGAACCGTTAAGGGAACCCTATGCAGGGGCTCAGTAGATTCCAAGAAACCCGCGCCAGGTGAAGCATTTGAGTGGGGAGCTCAAGAAGAGCTGAAGTCGTGGTTGACACCCTAAACCCCTAAACCCCTAAACCCTAAACCCTAAACCCTAAACCCTAAACTCTAAACCCCAAACCCTAAACCCTAAACCCTAAACCCTAAACCCTAAACCCCTACACTGAAGACTCCGAGCGCACGGTGTCTGGATCTCTCGCCCTGAACATCCCCGAATACGATGAGCGCTCCAGAGTCCAGGTAGCCCGTAAACCTTGTTTAGGGTTTAGGGTTTAGGGTTTAGGGTGTAGGGTTTAGGGTTTAGGGTTTAGGTTTTAGGGTTTAGGGTTTAGGGTTTAGGGTTCCTTGCTAGCTGACTGGTTGGCTAGGCTTAAAAAAGCGCCACGACAACCTGAGACCCATAATTAACCCTAGACCCGAAACCTCGTACCACAAACCCCAAGCCCGAACGCCTACACCCTAAACCCTAAACCCTAAACCCACGACCCAAGCCACACAAACATCCACAAAACTCGACGATTCCGGACTCCTGATCCCCGGAATCCCATCGCCCATAGCTTGCAGACACTAGGATCCGAGGACGAAGCCAACAAGCCCTTGGCTTTGAGATTTGGTGGTTTTGGGGTTTATGGGTTCGGGGTTTTGATGGCTTCTTCGGATTTCGGGTTTCGGGTGTAGGGCGAGACCTCGCGCTTAACACCCTGAACCCTAAACCCTAAACTTTCCCTCGCCGAGATCTCCAGAAGCGATGGCAAGTGCACCTGGATCGCTTCGAGGAGGCGGAGCTGGGGTGCAGGGCTTGGGTTTAGGGTTTAGGGTTTGGTCTAGGGTTTAGGGGGTTTAGGGTTTAGGGTTTAGGGCTTGGGGGTTTGGCTTTAAGGGTTTTGGGCTTGGGGCTTCGGGTTTCGCGTTTAGCGAGATTGGGCTGGGCTTCTTCTGGAATTTCATGGACCTGGCTGTGGACGACTCTAGTAATGCATGTGGGGGCGGGGGGCCTGGCAAAATAGTAAGTCGTAATCATCGTTCCCTGATGTCCCTAGACCCTACACCCTAAACCCTAAAACCCTAACTAAACCCTAAACCCTAAAACCTAAACCCTAAAACCCCAAAGCCCTAAACCCTAAACTCTAAAACCCTAAACCTTAAACCCTAAAACCCTAAAGCCCTAAACGCTAACACCCTAGGGGCTC